TGGAGCAGATCGGCAAAAAAGCACTTAATGCGTACGAAATCGCTCAGAGGTTTATCAGCAGATTCGTCTCAAACCCCGGCTTCCAGACGGCAGTGGTGAAGTACGTACTGAATTCCGATGGAGGGGAGCTATTAACGGAGTGTCTTTACCGACCGACCCAGTGGAATCGACTGACCAATCGTAAGAAGGACTGCTATCGTTGCTTATATGCACTGTTGAACGACGAAGCTTGCATATCGATCCTGTCGTACGTTGCCACAGCGTTGCTCCGTAAGAAACGTTTTCATTTATGCCGCGATGGATTAAGTTAAGTTTTAGTATTATAAACAATTATAAACATTTAGTATTTAGTTTAAATTCAGTTTTAGTATTTAGTATATTTTTTAAAGCTAATTCTTTGCATCTCAACAAAAAATAATATTTTCTCGTGATTGCTAATCATTGTTTTTAGCAGGAATGATTACAGGAAGTAACACAGAAAATCACTCACCTTCGAATGACTATTCACGATAAGTAAAGTGATTATCACAGGATGATAATAGGGATGTCTGCAACAATAGTAATGGCAACGATGATAATAAAGCTAATTCTCTTCGACATTTCAGAGGAAGCAAAGCTGAGATCGCTCTAAACCTGTTTGTTTCCTGTGGAACGAATAGAAAGTAGGGTACACATAAACAACCAATTTTTAGTCACTTTCCCCTACTGAAATGCCTTGTGCAAAGTTGTTCAGCAACATGGAATCCTACCAAGGATTATTTTCCTAATTAAAAACTTGTATGATCTTTCATCGGATGGCTAGGAAAATTCTTTCGCGCAAAGTTCAGAATATCATAAGGAGGAATGGAATCTTCACTGTTGTCTGTGGTGCTCCAGCCAATACGAAACAGTGAAGCTGTAACTACGGCAAGAATGGAGACATCTGCGTAACTCTTTTGCAGTTGCGGATGATATCGTATTGTTCGTAGAGAACTTCTAAACTACGACATCACTTTCGTAGCTCTGAAACTGAGCTGTTCTGATCTGGATGTCACGACTAATTTAACGAAGACGAAGTGGATAGAAATTGGTACAACCCAGACCAGTGTCTGTTTGACCTCTGATACCGAAATGGTAGAAAATATGCCTGTACAGCTCTATCTTGGAATTACA